GAAGGGGACTTCTCAACAAGGCCTTTGAGCTATCAGTTCTTTCTGATGCAGAAGATTACTGATCATTTTCTCCCCCAAAGGGAAGCTTTATGAATTCTCGAGTTCCAGGTACATTAGCCACCAACATTTGCACATGATCAGCTCATCATCTCATTCTCTCTCTCTTTTTGTTATTAATTTTTCTCCCTTTCATCAAAATGGTATCATCTTCATCAAATTTTATGTTCACTTTTACAGCAGATTGGCCATTAAACATTCCAAGTATGTTCTCAAGCTTTTATCAGAGTTAAGGGATCAGGGTTCCCTTATCTTGTTAAGTTTTTGTTAAGTTTGACTGAAGGTATTTTTCCCTCCTAGCATCTCTACTTTGATCCTTTAATGGGATATACCTATTATTTGGTCCGGAGGCGGAAATACAAGATCCTTAGAAGCACGCAAAAATTAGATAGCCAAGATCCACACAATGTGAGGAGGTACGGGAGAAACCAACGTCATCAATAGTTGTAATTCGACAGCATTTTTTTTTCTTGCATGATATGTATGTCAAGTTGTCAGCTTAAAGAAAATAAAAATCAGTAGCATGAGATATTTTCCAAGAGCAAAAATTATGAGACACGGCATTTCATCCAAACAAGCAATAGCTTTTCGTAGTAGTTCTTGGAGTGCATTATGTAAATGGACAATAAGGGTTGTACTGTTACACTAATTTTCTATCTGGAATACAAGGGGAAATGGTACCATGTCTATAATGAAGCCAGTAAGAAGGTGGTGTGCTTTTGCACTTGTTCTTTGAAAATGCCCAACCACTGCAGTCTAAAAGTTAGCTTTATCTCCTTTCTTCAAGTTAATTCAGAGTTTGCCTTCTAATGTTTATAATCAAGTACAAACACATAATTTGCCTATAAATGCTGGAATGTTAATCAGTGTACGGTAAAGAAGAATTTTTTAATTTGTGCTACACACCAAAGAAGATTATTAATATGAGACCAAAAGTTATATATGACGGCAAGGGATTTATGACCAGAGACCAAGTTATACATGTTGGTTAGCAGGACTCTAGTGAATATAGCCAACCGCGGTGATGTATTATTAAACCCTGAAATATTAACACTAATTTGTTAATGTGCCCAAACTGATCAATAAAAAATATTTAATTTAGGTATTGAATTTTAGAAGAATTTTTTTTCACTAATTTGCAGAAGGTCCATATGTACTTGGTTATTGATAACAACTACTAATAAAATAACACGTTATAATCCATATATTTAATTGCCACTACAACTAAAACAATTGTTTTAAGGGGTTATAAACTGCTAATAGGTAAGAAAACGTCTTGTAATTTGATGAGTTTATTAGACATTAGTGAATTCCTTTTATTTGTGCCCCTTTGAGAAATTTTGCTGGCTCCGCCTCTGTAATATAGCCTACATGTCTTTGCTTTATTGGTTTCAAATACATATTGGCCTTAGTGAAGAAATCTACTACCAAATGTCAACCTAAGGACTGAGATAATGAACTGATTAGCCATACTAGTGAGAAATTTGCATTTGAGGGGGCCGAGCAGAAGTAAGTTTCTGGAGAAAATATCATAGATCTCTCAGAAACGGTTATGGGTTTTCTGTAACACCTAAAAGTGCAACACCTTGCTACACATTCTAGTACGGTGACATGTAGTTTTCTTTAATTATGAAATACAATATATGTTTAACTCCCGTCACTAGAAAACCCTAGCTCTATTCTTCTAGGGAAGTTTCTTCTCCCTCTTCCCCCACCAAATATCCAAATCCAACCTTATATCATTTCACATATGAATACTTCAAAAGAAAGGGGAAAGCAACCTAATTTGTTCTTATTTTTTGCTGATATCGATTGTTGCTTGGGTTTTTTTACCAGTTGTTTCTTGTGTAAGGAAGAGTTAAAACTTAGAAAAAAAAATGCAGTTTTAGTCTTGAATGTTTACCCTCTATGCGGTTTTAGTTCTTAATGTTTTGACAAAAGCAAATCTGATGTTCAATGTTTAGCACATGTGCATTTTTAGTCCTTAACATTTTGGTAAGAGCAAATATGATCTTTAATATATCCAATTAAATCAGATTCAGGGCATTTGAAGAATTTTTTCTAATTACTGATAGAATTTAGGCACGTTTAGTCATGTGCCTATTGAAAAAATCAAATTTCAAAATAAAGAAACAATGTAGTAGTTAGCTTTAAACAACTACAACCACTAGGGTTGGCTAGTGGTCAGGGAAGGATTGTTATAGTATTCCCTGCTGTCAAGTTATTCTATGTTTGATAGTTAGGGGGTGGGAAGGAGTGAGGAGAGGTGGGAGGGGTTAAAAAAAAAATTTAATAACAAGAACTAGTAATTCACTTGCTAATTAATTCACTAGTAAAAAGAAGAAAAATTCATATTAATTTCGCTTTGTACTCCTAAATTTGTATCACTTTCTTATTTTACACCCTAAATTTCAATTTTGAATACTTTGTGCCCTAAACTCTTGATTTGCAACTAAATTCTCAAGTTGGTCCCATTTAAATTCAATCAATGATAATTTTGGCAAAATTTACTATTTATAAAACCCAAACAAACCAATTACAATGTGCTGAAAGTGATTAAAAGGTGCCATAGTATTGTGACAAAAATAAATCAATATATTGCCTTTAATTTTTATCATATTTTTCTCACTAAATTTGCTAACCATATAAGTGATTGAAGCCATATAAATCAATGGCAATATACTGAAAGTGGTTAAAAAAAGCTAAGAGACAACAATGAATACAGACGATGCACTCTAATTAATTTCACCATCTTTTATCTCATTAATTTCGTGAATGTAATTATTGATTAGATTTAAATAAGATAAATTTGAGAGTTTAGGATACAAAGTATCCAAAATTAAAGTTTAGAATGCAAAGTGAGAAAGTGATGCAAGTTTAGGGGTATAAAGAGGAGTTAGTCCAAAAAACTAAATATAAAAAACCAAAACTAGTCAGAACATTTAGTTCAATGTGATCTAGAACTTATTTTCAATCTCTTAGCCCTGTTGTCCCAAGGAAAAACTCGAAATATTTAATTTTTTGGGACAAATTAACAATTTTCTTTATTTTTTTATTTCTTGGTTAATTAGTTATTAATATACCTCACTGGTGTTGTTCTTAGTTTAATGCAATAAACATGTTGCTGTACATGAGTGATTATATCAATATTTGAAAAAATCTATCAATTGTTCTAAATTCATTTCAAATTAGTACTGTTGGGAACAAGGTATGTTTTTGATGAAGCTTTAAAGACTAAAATTGCAACAGGTACCAAACATTGGGGATAAATTGTGCAAGTGCTAAATATTGAGGACCAAAAAAGAAACTTAATTAGAAGTCTTTTATACTTTTAAGATGAGAAATATCACTACAATAGGCTATGTAACACATGTGTTACACTTTGAGGTGGGTCTTCTAATTAGAATGTATAATATAAGTGTTACACTTTTGGGTACAACAAAAGACCCTTTGCCGTCCTGAGACTAATTAAGATGAGAAAAGTAAAATCAAGTCTATAGATCCATCAAAGAAGGATACAATATCAAAAGTCAGGACGAGAAACATTATTTTAAAATTAGTGTGATTTTTAACCAAATTTGCTCCCGCTATTATTATCATATATCCTGTTACTACTAGTTGTCCAGTTAAAGAACAACAGCAACTAGAAAAGAATTTGCTTACACGGTTAAGAACATGTTAGTTTGTAGCTTTACCGTTCAAATAATAGTGTTAAACAGAATTTGCATGTTCAAATCCGCTGTTCTGATGGTGAAGGACCCCCTCAATTTAAACTAGATGAAAGACTATATTTGATTCACCTCCCCAACTTAGTTGAGTTTAGCATCAAAGCTACTCAGCTTTAGTTCTCTGTTTTCTTAAAAAAAAAAATGTGAGATTCAAACAAAATAGCATCCAATGAAGTAAAATATATATAATTATTTTGTTCACAAAATTTGAGCACATATTTATTTTTTGCCATGCAATTTCATTTAATGAATTTTTTATTCTTAATAATAAAGTAAGAAGGATCGATTAATGTCTTTACTACATTTTGTTTTTGACAGGTTGTTGAAACATGTGCAATAATAAAATTAAACCTAATTGCCAAATAAAGTAACCAAAACCCGATTCCAAGTACTGGAGCAGGGACTCTAGGTGTACAATGGGTTGCTTGATTCACTCTGTTTCCGAAGAGTTTGATTGATCCAATATACCTGAATGGGATGGCTTTTCGCAAAAAATTATTAATTTGTAAACATGACGAATAGGATCGTATCCTCAGGGACTGGGGACATTTGTATCTTTCGAAATTCAAAGTAACATGGGGGGTGTTTTTGTATATACGATAACAATCAAAGAAATTCAAATAAAAATAAATAGCTAACTAGAAATTGAATGACAATTCGCTGAAATTGGATTAATAATAATTAAAGGTCTAGCTAAGAAATAACTTCAACAATGGTTCACCTAATTGATCATCGATGCATAGGCAATTCCAATTATTTACTGATAAATAGGTTATAACTGTCAAACAAGCGATGACAGTCAACTCCTCCTTACTGTGTCGGGGATTAGGGTACGCCCGTTAATCACTACTCTAATTGAGAAATAATCTTAGGTACGCCCGTAAGATTTAATTCCTCAATTGCCTTACTTATTAGAGGAGTTGTATTCTAACAAAATAACGCACTACCAGGGTTATTTCAGATTAGCCGCGTATCCCCCTGATACAAAGTTAATCATGTCAGTTGTCACTAATTCAAGGCAATTAAATAATTACGGATTTAATGCCCTAATTGACAATAGATTATCGAGTTAACTAATTATTCGGATTCAAGACAATCAATTAATTAAATAATCATAAATACTATAATCAAGGGATATGTAAATACCAATAAATAAAAGAAAAAGATAAAATTAAATCGATCTCACAATTTTTAGGTGAACCAAAGCCTCCGTTGTTCCTTGAAGAGTAAGGAAATTAGTTCATATTTGATGCGAAAAACCCACGCAAAAGTGTAGAGAAAGCTGCAGCCATTATCCTTGATCGAGGGAGTTCGCTTCGTTCGAACAAAAGGAAGAATAGCCAGTTTTCCGAGAATGACTAATTGACTAATTGAATAATACTTGTCTTGACATACGGAGAAGGAAAAGCTACTTGAGCCCACAAGGAAAAGTCAAAAAAAGCTAAGCTAAAAAGTCATCCGCCATTGTTTCCTCTATTTCCTATCTAATGCTACTGTCTAAGTCTATTTTTCTTCCTTGCGGTGACTCCCAAGGGAAAGGAACACACCTCGTCCTCAGTTCTGCCGTTGCCAAAAGAAAGGGCAAAAATTTTTTCCTTTTCCAAAATTGCCCCTTGGACTCCTTTTATGTCAAATTGGCACTTGTTATCATATTTTCATTCTACTCCCTAAAATAAATGCAAAATATTAAAAGTGAGTAGAATCTAACAATTAATCTACATCGGGTCAGGTAATAGGAAAAATTAATAATAAAATAAATGATAAAATTGCATCCTATTAATTCCCCCCACACCTAAACCATGCTTGTTCTCAAGCATAAGAACAGCAAACAAACACCAATATTTGACAATGGCTATTGCTCTATCTACTATATTGCCAAGATACCAAGAAAAACATAGACCAAGTATCAGTGATCAAAATCCAAGAAACATCACTCCGGTTAGCTTCTAAACCACAAATTCCTTCAATTCTAGGTTAACTAATCTAAGAAAAAGGAATAGCGCACAGCATTTATCATCAAATGGTCCAACCATTAACCAAAATCGCAACATTAAATCCATAATTTGACGAGCTGAGTTATATCACACACTAACACAACTTTCACTTTTTTTTCACATTTTCTTTTTTTTCTTCAATAGCACAAAAGATTTAGTTTCTAGCCATTGGAGTCTTTTGACGCGAACTCCAACATTTGCCAGATGAAGGAGCCTGGTTACTCAGTTCATATCACTATACGACTACGTACTCATAGAAATTACTACTTTTTGACGCGAGAATCGACACTTTTGGTGAAAATCCCTGGTTATTCAGTAGTAACAACTAGCGGAGTACAGTCATCTCTTATGTACAACCAGATAACACAATAACTCAAAATATCACAAAGAAAATAGTAGCAGCTAGCCTCATTTTTCAAACATGGAGAACTAAAGTTAATAACTGGACCAATTCACATGAAAATGCCAACAATCATTCTCAATGCCTAAAAAAGTTAACCAAAAATTAGAAGAGCCCAACAATCATCGATATTCACCAAAGAGATGTCCTTCGATTCAACCACATTAGTTAGATACACTTTTATTATTAAAACTTGGCAATAGCAGAATTAGAGTCAATAATCCAACATCAAACCTTGGTATTCACATTAGAGCTGATCACTAAAAGAAAGAAAATAAACGAAAGATAGACAAATAACAAACTAAAAATAAAGAAAAAACATTTAAAAACTAAAAACTTGAAATACTAGCATCACAGCTGTCCAATCCCCTCCACACCTAAATCCGACATTATCCCCAATGGAGAGTAGAAAGCAAGTAAAGTGAAGAGGACAACGAAACTTCCCTGTCAAATGGCTAAGGGATAGGAGGGAACGGTGGAGTGAAACCGATGTGATAGAAGTACGCGGCCAAGTTCTGAAACATCTCAACTCAATTCAACCAGCAAATGCAAAACTCTGTCCACCCAAATCTCAACAAAGTCTCCAATTGGACAGTGAATATCTCAACTCAAAATCGGCAATTCCAGCAATAGTAGTTGAGGAATTTAGTAATAGCAACGCAATCACAAGCTCTTGGCAGTCAATCAGATCTCTAACCAAATAGAGGTAACAAATACTCGCACTAGTACCACTGGTGCAAATCGCAGTCCAAAATTAAAGAAATTGCTATAGCAGAGCAAAGCAGTAGTAAAGCAATAGCCCCAAGTGTGTATTCACCCACCAACAAAGAAAAATACCCAAAGTAAAATACCAACAAGATATGTATTCAACCACCAAGTGGGAACCCCGGCCACTGAAGTTAACAATCAACCAAAGAATGACTTCGAGCAGCTTGACAGCCACGTGCACAAATCAAACGATTGAAATCACAGACAATGGTCCCCAAATTAGCAATATGAACCAATCGCCAGAATGTCCCCAACACTTAAAACGAAATTCTACCAACCTCAATAGGTAAATCAAGCGGCACAATCTCCCAATTCAATAGGCAATGTTAGAATTAATTGTACCCAAAAATCTCAGAAGAGATCCCACGCAAATGACCCCCAACAAAGCAGATAAAATCCCTCACATTGAACAGGCAAATCACAGCTTACTAGTAATCCCAAATCAATAGCCAAGTGTAAAATTCTAGCAAGTTATTTCCCAAACCCAAATAGTAGCAATTAATACCAAAATGTGAGGATTGATGCTCAAATACCTCCACCGGTGTTCGAATGGAGAACTGACGGGTGGCGTGGCTGCCGGTGGTCACGTTACTGCGGTGGCTGTCGACAAGCGGAGAAGAGAGAGCTGCAGCTGTGGCGGTTGGCGGTTGGCACGCGAGGGAGATAGAAAGAGTCGCGAGGTGCGAGCAGCAACGGCAGTCAGCTGCAAGGAGAGAGGAAAAAGAAGGCGGCGTCGGCTTGGACTCGTTGCAGTGGCTGTGTGAGTCGTGCGGCAAGGGAGTGGCGCGATCAGTAGGCAGCCGTGGACTGGTAGCAAAGGTCGTACGAGGATGGAGAAGAGGGAGACCGTGGGTGGCGCGCGGTGGCGTTGGTATAAAAGGAGGAGGCGACGGCGTGAAGTTTTGTAGGTTTTGGCCAGGAGAAGAGAAACAGGGAAGAAGGAAGAAAGAAACAGAAAGAAAGAAAGAAAGAAAAAAAAAAGAAAAGAGAAAAATAAAAATAAAATAGTTTTTGTTCTTTTTTTGTTTTTCAGTTTGTTTTTCATTTTTAGATTTTTTTTCTTTTTTTTTTAAATCCTAATTTTGGAAATAAAAAATTATAGCTAAACGGAAGGACTTTTTTTTCGAATTTTTATTATTTATATTTTTTTGAATATTATTATTATTACAAAACTTATTTTCAAAATTCAAAATTAGAGACTAACAGGAAATCGAAAATCGTTCTCGAGTTTTGAATATTTGCCTTTCTCGCGAACGTGACGTGGGCACGTTAAGAGGGCAAGAACCCTTTTGACCATGAGCTCTCCATACGACTTGATGGGGGCGCGTCAAGTCAGAGAGACACTTACAAATCATCAAAAATGAAAATTGAAGTCAGAAATCAGTCAAACTCAAGGAAAATATATTTAAACTATCGAACAAAACTGAACAAACAACTAAAAGAAATTGGATTGCCTCCTAATGAGCGCCTTTCTTTAATGTCTTTGGCTAGACTTTAAACACCACTCTTCAATTTGGATGTAATTCAATTTTTCTTGTAATCGGTGGCCCTCCTCCGGGATCTAAATAGCCATTGAGTGCAGCATTTTTTCTTAATTTTCTATTTCTTTTCACCTTATAAATTGCTTTCATTCCCTGATACTTGTTTGCAGTAACTTTGAATTTATCTCTACAAGCAAATTTAGAAAATTTTTGCACAAAGGGATTAATAGCATGAATAGCAAACACAGAGTGAGAGTTAACAGGATGTTCCATTGTATCAAAAATATTAAAATTGACTATTTCTCCATCAAATTCTATAGACAAGGTACCCTTATTAATATCAATTTTTGTTTGTGCTGTGCTCAAAAAGGTCTAACTAGTAGCAAAGGTGAGGGGTCAGGGGAATAATCATCATTCATGTCAAATACATAAAAGTCAGTTGAAAATACCAAATTATTAATTTTGATCAACACATCCTCAACCAACCCATTAGGGTATGCATTGGTTTGGTCAACTAACTGAATTATTATCCCAGTTTCTTTTAATGGACTTAAGTTCAGAGAAGTATAGATAGATTTAGGCATTACATTAATTGATGCCCCTAAGTCTAACATGGCCTTCCTAATTAAAGTGTTGCCTATCATATAGGGAATAATGAACATATCTGGATCCCCACATTTCGGTGGAAGTTTCCTTTGTAGAACCGCTGACACATTTTCCCCTACGATGACCCTTTTATCTCCCTTCAGCCTTCTTCGGTTAACGCACAAATCTCTCAAAAGTTTTGCATATTTTGGCACTTGTTTGATTGCATTTAGCAGAGCGATATTGATCTCTACCTTGTGAAACACCTCCAAGATCTTTTTTTTCTTGTCTTGCTTCTTCAGTTTCTTCAACCTGTTAGGAAATGGAGGGAGATTAATTTTAACGCCTATGATCGGGTCAAAGAGTACCATTGAATTTTTGGTGCTTGTGTTCTCTGTCTCAAACTCTTTCTCAATCTTCTCTTCGTCCTTATCCTTTGGAGTCACGAGTTCGGGCCTCTGAATTTCCTTCCTACTCCTTAAGGTCATTGCACTTACATTCTTCAGGTTCAATTCAGGTTGAGACGATAATTTTTCATAAACTTGAGATTCTAGGCGGTTGATTGCCACTGCCATCTGACTCATCTGACTTTGTATTTCTTATATCTGGCCCAATTGATTCCTCATACTTTGTAGATAAGAATCCGTCTTTTGTTGATTAACAATTAATTGCTTCATCATCTTTTCCATAGACGGACTTGAGTTTGAAGGAGGTGGTGGTAGGTGAGGTTGGTAGTGTTGTTGGTACCCTTGCTACCTATTTGGTGCAAAATTCGACTGCCCATTTCCTCTATAACTGAAGTTAGGATGATCTTTCCAACCTGGATTGTACGTATTCGAATATGGGTCGTATGGCTGTCTTGGCGCGGACACGTGACTAGTCATGTTCACTTGTTCCACACTTTCCTCTTGAATCAGTAGGCATATCTCCGTAAAATGACCCATATCAGTGCAAATCCCACACATCTTGGCTTGTGATCCATTTTCCACAGCCAATTGCCTCACGAAAGATGTCAATTCAGTCAACTGCTGCTGGATAGAGGATGTCTCTACCTCGTTCACTTTGCGTATTGGGACATTCTCTCTCATACCAAACTGTTACGAATTCTCAACCATTCCCTCAATCAGTTCCCACGCTGCTCGAGGAGTCTTGTTCACCAGTGTCCCTCCACTCGCAGTATCGATTATACTCCTGTCTCTGAAGAGTAGCCCATCGTAAAAATATTATATGAACAATTGCTCAATTATTTGGTGCTGAGGGCATTTGATGCACAACTTCTTGAATCGCTCCCAGTAATCATAGAGCGACTCCCCTGAATGCTGTTTGATACCACAGATCTCCTTTTTTAGACTTGCAACTCAAGACGCAGGAAAGTACTTGTTTAAGAACTTTTTCTTCAGCTGGTCCCACGTGATGATACTATCTGGTGATAGGTAGTATAGCCAGTCTTTAGCAGAGTCTTTCAAGGAGAAGGGAAATGTCCTCATTTTTATCTGTTCCTCTGTAATCCCCGTGGGCTTCATGCTATTGTACACGACATCAAACTCCTGCAAGTGCTTGTAAGGCTCTTCACATGGTAAACCATATAAAGATGACAAGAGATGAATTAGATCAGATTTTAACTTGAATGGAGTGTTATCATCTAAAATTGGGAAAGTAATGCACAAAGATTACTTATTTAAATCATGAGCAGCCAACTCCCTTAATGTTCGTGTATTAGCCATAATGATTTCTTCTCGATCCGAATCACTGGAAATATCACCAAACAGACTTGTTGCTTCGACTTCCGGATCAAGTCTATGGGATGCAGCACTAGATTGCTCCTCTCTGAACTGTCTGGTCTCTTTTCGTGTTCTCCGTGCAGTCTTCTCTATCTCAGGGTCAAAAATCAATTCACCTGTACGAGAAGACCGAGGTATACACTAGAAAAATACTAGAAAATTAGAGTAAAAATGAACTTAAAAAGAAACAAATAATAACGCCGGTCCCCGGCAATGGCGCCAAAAATTGACATGTTGTTGAAACCTGTGCAATAATAAAATTAAACCTAATTGCCAAATAAAGTAACCAAAACTCGATTCCAAGTACTGGAGTAGGGACTCTAGGTGTGCAATGGGTTACCTGATTCACCCTGTTTCCGAAGAGTTTGCTTGATCCAATATACCTGAATGGAATGACTTTTCGCAAATAATTATTAATTTGGAAACAGGGCAAGTAGAGTCGTATTCTCAGGGATTTGGGATATTTGTCTCTTTCGAAATTCAAAGTAACACGAGGGGTATTTTTGTGTATACGATGACAATCAAAGAAATTTAAATAAAAATAAATAGCTAACTAGAAATTGAATGACAATTCGCTGAAATTGGATTAGTAATAATTAAAGGTCTAGTCAAGAAATAACTTCAACAATGGTTCACCTAATTGATCATCGATGCAAAGGCAATTCCAATTATTTACTGATAAATAGGTTATAATTATCAAACAAATGATGACAGTCAACCCCTCCTTACTGTGTCGGTGATTAGGGTACGCCCGTTAATCACTACTTTAATTGAGAAATAATGTTAGGTACGCCCGTCAGATTTAATTACTCAATTGCCTTACTTATTAGAGAAACCCTATTCAAATCAAATAACGCACTACTAGGGTTATTTCAGATTAACCCGCGTATCTCCTTGACACAAACATAATCATGCCAGTTGTCACTAATTTAAGGCAATTAAATAATTACGGATTTAATGCCCTAATTGACAATAGATTATCGAGTTAACTAATTATCCGGATCCAAGACAATCAATTAATTAAATAATCATAAATACTGCAATCAAGGGATATGCAAATACCAATAAATAAAAGAAAAAAATAAAATTAAATCGATTTTACAATTTTTAGACGAAAGCTTCCGTTGTTTCTTGACTAGAGTAAGGAAATTAGTTCATATTTAATGCAAAAAACCCATGCAAAAGTGTAGAGAAAGCTGCGGCTATTATCCTTGATCGAGGGAGTTCACTCCATTCGAACAAAAGGAATAATAGCAAGTTTTCCGAGAATGACTAATTGAATAATACTTGTCTTGACATACGGAGAAGGAAAAGCTACTTGAGCCCACAAGGAAAAGTCAAAAAAAAGCTAAGCTAAAAAGTCATCCGCCATTGTTTCCTCTATTTCCTATCTAATGCTAATGTCTAAGTCTATTTTTTTTCTTGCGGCGGCTCCCAAGGGAAAGGAACACACCTCGTCCTCGGTTCCACCGTTGCCAAAAGAAAGGGCAAAAGTTTTTTCCTTTTCCAAAATTGCCCCTTGGATTTCTTTTCTGTCAAATTGGCACTTGTTATCATATTTTCGTTCTAATCCCTAAAATAAATGCAAAATATTAAAAGTGAGTAGAATCTAACAATTAATCCACATCGGGTCAGGTAATAGGAAAAATTAATAATAAAATGAATGATAAAATTGCACCCTATCAGTTTTGGTGGCTTTTGATTTTCATAGAATTTTTCAGAAGTTTCAATACATTCAATAAAGCTACTAATAGTATTGTTTTCAACTTTATATAAGCTAAAATAGTAAGTTGATACATTGAAATAACTTAAATTTAAACTAAAAACTATAATTAGCTTATTTTAAGTAATCCAAAGAAAGCTTTAAAAGGTAAAATGAATGTACATACATATGTATCGGTGTTACGGACTATTTTGTGGTACCTTGAAGGCATGAAGCAACCCCAACATGAATGGCATATTTGCTTATACATGTTAGTGTCAAGTTTTTTGTTAAGTATAGAAAGTTTTTTCCTAGTTATGATGAAGTTTTTTGGGTGATAAATGGACATATCATGTCATTCACAACAAGACTTGCTCGCTGCAAAAGCCCACTTCCTATCTTTTAAA